ACACACATGGAAGGCAGCCTTTAGAGTAGTGAGATATCTGAAGGGTACACCAGGAATGGGAGTCCTATTGAAAAGGGGGAATGTAGATACACTAACAGCCTTCTGTGATTCTGACTGGGCAGCATGCCCAATGACACGAAGGTCTGCTAGTGGATATGCTGTCAAGCTTGGTGATTCATTGATTTCATGGAGATCTAAGAAACAACACACTGTTCCACAAAGCAGTGCTGAAGCAGAATATCGTAGCATGGCATCAGCAGTCTCAGAAATAGTGTGTTTGTTGGGACTTTTCTCAGAGTTGGGAGTGCAGGTTCTTAAACCTGTCACACTGTTCTGTGACAACAAAGCAGCAATGCAAATAGCTGCAAATCCTATCTTTCATGAGCGTACGAAACACATCGAGATAGATTGTCATTTTGTTCGTGAACGTATCAAGGATGGCACCTTGGCTACACAGTATGTCTCTACAAAAGAGCAACAAGCAGATCTCTTCACCAAAGGGCTTACATCTGTGCAACATAATTTTCTACTCAGCAAACTAGGAGTGTTAAACATCCTCCACCCTCCAGCTTGAGGGGGAGTATTGGAAGTTAGAAGAATTAGAAGCTGGAATAGAAGTTAGTTGTAAATAGGACTCAACTGTAATTAATAGGAGTTAGGAAGTCTCTTATTATTTTTAGTTTTTTACAATTAGTTGTATATAACTACTTCAGTTAATACAGGAAAGGCGGTTGGAAATTTTCCAAATTCTTTCTTCTTCTTCCTCACGAGTTCTGTGCTCTCCAATGGCGTTTTTCTAACATGGTATCAGAGCGAGGAGATCGATCCGTGAGATTGTGGACTTTTTCCAACCACTTAATAGCTTGAATGTATTCATCTTCTTCTTCGTTTAGTAAATCGATTTCTAGTCTTCGAATTTTTTTTTGCATGAACATCAATGGCACCAGAAACAGCAACAGAAGCACCAGTGAAAATCGATCACACTCATCCACTCTTTCTCCAACCTTTAGACACGCCTGGATTGGTCCTAATCCCAATTCAGCTCACAGGATCAGAGAATTATGGATATGGAGCAGATCGATGTGCCTTGCTCTCAAGGCCAAGCAGAAGCTAGGGTTTATAATAGGAGTGTGTACGAAAGAGGCATTCGATAAAAATCTCCATGAGGAATGGGAGACTTGCAATGCAATAGTGCACAGCTGGATTATGAACTCTGTTTCGAAAGATCTACTTAGTGGAATCATCTATGCATCAGATGCTCATGCTGTTTGGGAAGATCTACATGAGCGATTTGATAAAGTAAATCGAGTTAGAATTTTTCAACTACACAGATCGCTCTCGAGGCTTTCTCAAGGAGCTGATTCTGTGGCTGCATAATTCACAAAATTGAAGGAGCTATGGGCGGAGTATGATGTTTTACTGCCATATCTGGACTGTGGTTGTCCAACGTCCAAAGAGCACATGACTCTTTTACAGCAATAAAGACTTATGCAGTTCCTAGATGGACTGAATGATACATATGACCAAGCTCGTAGACAGATTTTGATGAAAACAACTGAACCCACACTTAATCAGGCGTATGCACTCATAACACAAGATGAGAGTCAACAATGTACATGAGGAGGAGTTCTAGGACACAAGTCAGATCCCTTAGCCTTGCAAGCTAGCAGAGGTCAAGGATTTCGTGGAAGGAAACAATTTATGCAGTGTGAGCATTGTCATATGAGAGGACACACAAAGGAAAACTGTTATAAGATAGTAGGATACCCTGAAGATTTCAGAAGGAGGAAGACATTTCCTTCTAAGGGGGTTCTAACAACTGCAAATCATGTGGAAGGTGCCGTAAACCATGGAGAAGGAAATATGGCTCAGAGTTCACAAGGAACATCAGGCACATCACAAACTAGAGGTGGAGATCATTTTTTTACAGAAGCACAATATCAGCAGATTCTAGGTCTGTTGAGAGATTCACCACTAGCTGACGTGAAGGCACAAAGTCAGGGAACAACTGCAAACCAGGAAATAGCTGCAGGTATACCTACTGTACTATCCTCTATGTGCATATCCCAAACAAAAGGAATGATGATTGGATTGTAGAATCAGGAGCAACACATCATATTTCATCTACCTTAGATCTAATGAGTGATATAAGAAGAATAGATGACAACATACAAGATAAAGTGACTTTGCCAAATGGTGTCACTACAAAAATTGGACATGTGGGGAGTTCCTTTTTGTCAGATGTTGATAAGCTAGAGAATGTACTGCACGTCCCTGATTTTAAGTTTAATCGAATGTCAGTATCCAAGCTGACTAAAGATCTAAAGTGTGCTGCCACATTTTTGCCCACACTGTGTGTCTTTCAGGACCTTTACAATGGCAGGGTGAAGGCGATTGGTAAAGTGAATGAAGGTTTATACATACTGAAAGGAAGAGGAGTCAGATTTTTGGCAGCAAATGTGAATGTAGGAGGTTCAAGTGCTGAAACAGCTTACTTGTGGCATGAGAGATTGGGTCATGCTTCTATTCCTGTAATGCAACATGTTCCTTTTTTGCATAATAAAGTAGATGACAGTATGCAGAATAAATGTACTGTTTGCCCTCTAGCTAAACAGTCTAGGTTGTGCTTTCCTAATAGTGAGAAAAGGAGTGCTAGAGTGTTTGATTTAGTCCACATGGATGTATGGGGACCATATAAGAAAAGTACTCATGATAGAAAATATTATTTTCTTACAGTTGTGGGTGATTTCTCTAGAGCTACTTGGATTTTCTTGATGCAGTTTAAAAGTGAAACTATTGTTTTTCTAAAGCAGTTTATTTCCATGGTCAAAACACAATTTGATACTTGTGTCAAGATTGTGAGATCAAACAATTGTAAGGAGTTTTTCAATACACAGTGGAATGAATACTTGCTGTCTCAGGGAATCATTCATCAAAGTAGTTGTGTATATACACCCCAGCAGAATGGAATAGCTGAAAGGAAGCATAGACATATACTGAATACTACCAGGGCACTGATGTTTCAAAGTCATGTTCCAGATATGTTTTGGGGGGAATGTGTACAAACTGCTGTATACTTGATCAATAGATTAGCTACCAGGATACTAGATGGTAAAAGCCCTTATGGAATGTTGTATTGTAGGGAGGCCTCAATAGCACACTTAAGGGTCTTTGGGTGTTTATGCTATGCCACAAATCTGACCCTAGATGATAAATTTGGTGCAAGGGTCAGGCAGGCAGTTCATATGGGATATTCAACTACACAAAAGAGATATAGGTTGTATGATTTGAACAGTAGAACCTTTTTTATTAGTAGGGATTGTGAGCACGTGATTTTTGCCCTATATGAATTACTCCCAGAAATTCAAACAAAATGATTTCTTTCATTATTTGCAATTTTGTGGATTTTTTGTGACATTTTT